AATGAAACGATTGTCGACGTAGCGCTCATGCCAGATCACACCAATGTCGGGCATGCAAAACCGCAGAGAACACATTGTTTGGTGCCAGAAGAAATCCTCAACCGTAGCAACCAAATTGCACAACGGTGGCGCGGCTGGTGATCCCATAGCGACTCCTCGTTCTTGGCGGAACAAGTATCCGTTGATCTCGAAGTGACTGTTGTCAATGACAAAGTCCAGAAGGTGCCGGAGATCTTGTTCACGAAAAATTCGAGGGATCTTGGTTTGACGGCGCCACTTTCCTTTGAACATACGGCGTCGATGATCTGACTTTACTTCGTACACTGACCATTGAGAGGAACTGCGAAGGCCAACAACTTGATCGTATCGATGGAGAAGCACTTGCAGCGCCTGGTGGAATCGTTCCGTAGGAATGGACGTGAAGAAGCCTGACAGGTCATGCGACACCAGGTGGATGTACTCATCGGGATCTGCTTTTGACAGCGCTTCCCACAGCTGCTGGACAAGTTCTTGTACTGGAAGTTGACCTGCAATGTCGGGAAAGGCAGCTTTGGTAAGTTCAAATATGAGTGCGCCGAAGACCGTGAGGAGGGAGCTGCCCACGTGCGAAAGAATGAAATGATGGGTCGTGCTTTCTGCCAGTCCTTGGTCGGCTTTGGGAGGATGCGCGCTGTGGGCAGCGGTGCTTGAAGTCGAAGTCCCCATGCATATCGTTGACGTAGGAGAGAAGGTACCGTGGTTACCACTTCAGAGCGAAAAGATGCTGCGGATTCACGGCAAAGCGAGAAGACATCCCCCGAGCAAAATGTCTTCCGCATCAGTATGGCAAACAGGGACGGACAAATCACATGTGCGCGGGAGGGAAAATGATCCGCTGGGATAACAACCCACGAAGACATAGAAGCCACAGTGCGCTGCAACGATGTCGATGACCAATAAGCACGATCTTGGAGGTTAGTTCGATGAGTGTTCATTAACTGAGTCAAAACCGGCTGCAGATCTGAAAGAAGACTGGAACCATGTACATGCCAGCGACGAGCAAGTTTGCGAAGTTGCGTGGCGAAACGTTGATGTAATAAGTCGACATCACCGAAATACTGATCCTTCATTGAGGCGGCCATGATTTCCATGTCAATGTCCGCATTGATGCGAGAAAACTCATCCACCATTACAGCATGACCATGTGCTCGGTGAATATGGTGATCATCGATGTCCAAACAGCGACACGGAAAGGATGTTTCAGGAGTCCATCTGCGCTGCCATGTGCGGTAGTTGTATATCTTGTCGCCCAACGTGGCACTGCGAGTTTCCACCACCCGGATCTTTGGAAGGAAAAGAGAAGGGAACAGATCCCGATGAGAAGCAATCCAGCTTTGTAGCCATGTGCCAAGTAGAGCTTTCCAATTCCGGACATGCAGCGGCGGTAAGAGTAGCTGTGTCAAAGTGGTGGGTGGCTGTAGCCGTCGTTTGCGCAACACCTGGGCGAGGAGTTTCTGCGCCTTGGAGCGGAAGGGCTCATTGACAAAGACTGCGAGCCGCAGTAAGTAGTACAGCTGAGTAGGAGGGAAAGCTGCCGACAGTAGGTCACGCATGACTTGGAACGATGCTCCTGTATTGGATCCCAGCTGATAGAGAATAGAGTAATGGGCCTGAATGTCATCCAGCATGTCAGGTCGTAGTTGCCGTTGGAGATCCGGATGTAGTCGTCGTCGAAAGCGCTTGTGCAAGCTGAGGGAAGTGGGAGACGACAACGAGTGACGTCGAAAATCCACGAGATGTTCCCGGAAGCCCACCTTTCGCAAGATTCTGTGTACCCAGGGCGCATTCAAATGCGGGCGTAGCAAGTATTGCCATTTACTTTCTTGAGCCCAAACCGAGGAAACAGGAAGGTTGATTTCCACCGGAACAGCGCAGAAGAGCCAGTAAGTATTGGATCTGTTCCAGTAGTGAAGCGCTGGTTCGAAGAAGGCATGCCGTCCACGAAGTAGTTGTAGAAATTTGCGACTGCGTGAGTGTTCACGACGTAGAACATCCTGATCAGTCGCCCCAACATAGTAGGGTGTGTGCCATGGGGAAAGTCGAATGTAGACGCACGGTTGTTGATGATGACCTGGATCGTGTATGAAGTCATAGAGGTCAGGAAATCGTGCCCGCAATGAGCGAAGATGTCGCGTGTCAGCAAAAGTGGAGTGCATGATTTCACACAAGAGAGAAGTCTTGTAGAAGTGAAGGACTTCAAAGAACGGCGGAAAGTAGCCATGATCTTGTGAAATGAGACGTTGTAAGAAACTAATCAATAAATAGGCAGTGCACCGACATCTGTGAAGCTCATACCTGTTGGCCACGGTGTGCTGAGAGTGTGACATAGCGTGGTTCGGAATCTGAAGGGCTATCCGGACCACAACTAAGACTTCGAGAATGAGGCCCAACCACGGTAATTGTGTGATTGATTCGTACTCATCAGTTGGAATCGACGGTGGTGGTAGTCCAGGAAAACAGTACTGCCAGCACGTAGAGAACATGGTCAACGAGTGTAAAAGGTCGTCCAGCGACTGCCATTGTGCAACATCATCATAGATTCCACAGCGGCGAAGCTCATCCAACATGGTGAGATACAACCAATGAAATCTACCACAAGGCGGCGACATGAATACAAGCTGCACAGACAATCACACAAAAGGCAATGCAAGAACGAGCAAGTACAAGCTCAAACTGGTGCAACGCAGAAAATTGACGGACGAGTTTTCACCTGGACTCATCCGTAACATTGTTGCCGCTCCGGGCTCATAAGAGAACGAAGGTCATTATGATGCCTTCTCATCCACAGAGTAGGCGAGCGGTCACGATGAGGTGACTCAATGCCTTCTCAGTGAGTTTGGTAAGATAGCCGGGCTCCAGTCCCCACGAAGCCGCCATCGCCCCGAGAGTGGGTGCGTCGCCTTTCGGCATGCGTTGACGCGCCTGAAGGAGCTGCGTCGCCATAGAATCTAATGACTTGTTGCCGTTGAGCCGGGACGGGTGATTGGCCCACTTAACCAGCGATGCCAAAGTGGTGGTTGTGGGCGATTGCTTGAGATAAAGGCGAGGCTGGTCACTGGTCCATGTGTAGTACTTGACAACTTCATCCGGCGTGCTGTGCATGGTGAGCAATTGTGACGCCGCCGGCTTAGACGGCGGTGACGACACTCCGTGAAGAGACTGAATGATCCGAGGTTGCACCGCGCTATCAAACGACTTGCCATCAAGGGCCGCTGCGCTGGCTGTAGGAAGGGAGCTGGCAGGTGACGAGGATGGTGTGTGGTTGACCGGTGGCGGTGTAACCAACTCTGCATCATCCTTCTGGCTTGTCATCGTGGGGGAGGTCGAAGCGCGCAGCGATGCGGAATACTGAGCTTGGAGCAGTTCGTGCCGATTTAGATCATTGTACTTTTTGACCATGTCATCTGTCTGGGTGGCAGGTGTGAGAGAGGTGTGATGTTGCTGAAGAAATTGAAGTATCAGGCTGGCCAAATGGTCATGAACCTTGATCCGCTGATTGAAGTCATCGATGTTGAGACCCAGCGAGTTGGCAAGGTCCTTTTCCAGGGTGAGCAGGTTGAGTGACTGTGATCTTCGTAGTAGTTTGGAACAGGTACTCCAAAGTAAGGCCTCGGTGCGAGTGCGAAAGCCTTCCCACGTCACGAATCTGCCGTGAGCAAACGGCCGGAGTAGCCAGTTGGTGAGGCCCCCGTGGATAACCTGAACCAGGCGAACGTCCCTAATATCCATGCCTGACATGTCGCGAAGGTTGCCATGCGGAGTGTTGGCAACGGTCATGGGCAGGCTGAAGTTGTAGAGCTGATTGACATCAAACATGCCGTCTCCAGGTGTCCAGTCAGGCGAAGGTGTAAGCCAGGCTTTCTGAGGGCGAACCGGTAGAGCCGCAGGAGGTCCAGGTGGCGGTGTAGGTTGGGGAGTAGTGACCGGTGGTGGCATCACGGGTGGCATGAACTTGGTTGGCGTGGGGTCCGGAGGGATCGGCATCATGTAGTTGATCGCTGGGTGTTGGAATTGCTGTGTGGGGCTGTGAGTCGATTGAAAGTTGGTGGGCATCATCGGAAAGTTGTTGGCAGAGTTGTAGCCGGAATTGTGTTGCCATGATACCAGGTTGTTCCAATCCATGTTCTCCGAGACCTGGCTGTCATTGTGTTCACGTCGGCGTGCTTTGCGAGCTTGAGGGGAAGGACTCCGATCACGTCTGCGCCGAGTCCTAGATCTATCTCGATCATCACGTCGAGACATGATGGCACAACAAATGCAAAACCGTAACTCCACACTCTTGAGAGGAACGAGTCCGATAAAATGCAAGTCCATGCAAGTTCAAGCCAGCAGCTAACAGCAGACCGAGTGAGACGTCTCTATGATCTGACGGCTGTCTTCCCTTTAGTGAAACCTCGTTCCTGGTTAAATGTGAAATTCCGCTGTTCTATGATAAGCACGTTGAGGTCAAATTTTCCGACAGAGCCGGCCCGGGGTCACACAATGGGTACACCCGAGGATTCCCCACGAATGGGGTGTACACACTTGAACTCCAGATGGAGAGTGCTAATCTTTCGAGTACAACTGATGAGTTTCGAGTACAACTGATAAGTCTCGAGTGCGATAATTTTCGGCTTGCGATACACTTGGCTTCCCTGTAGCTACTTTAACAGGGGCACAAAGAAGCAACGGCGGTTCAGGGAGGGGACCAAAAGGACATTCACAAACATCACAACGGCAGGTACGTCCAACGGCGTCCCGTTGGATTTCACCAGCAAAGAAGGGCGTCTTCATTGGCGCAGGTCCCTTCAATGCTGCCCGCGCCCCCTGCTGCAACGGAAAAAGGTTTTGGTGGCAGGGTATTCTGCCACTCCGCACACACACACACAAAGTTAAAAGAAAAAATCCCTTAACCCCCCCCCAAAAAAAAACTGGCCTATAAAGCAGGGCAAGGCAAACCCCTATGGGCTGCAACCGCGCGCCTTGTGCTCCCCAAAGCTCCGAGTGGCCCTCGCCCTGGCCGCTTTTGTTGGAGGCCGGATTTCCCCCAACTGCGAAGGAAACCACAAAATTGATTACAGGTTTCTGATAGGTTAAGTTTCTTGTTTCAAATGGGTCTGGTGATCACTCGACTGGGGGTAAACACAAAACTGATAGGTGTGGAGACCCTGGGCCAAAACCCATGGAAAGCCCCCAGTGAACGGGACCCAATCCAACCACTAAAATGGGTTCTAAAATTGGTGGTGCAGTGGTGCACCTATCCCAAAATGGTACCATTGGTTTTGACCCACAGCCGAAATGTCCTTTCATATGAGCCCCGCGTTCTCCAGCTCAGATGGTGGTTTGGGCGGGCGGCTCAGTGAATTGTTGCTATGGCATCCCGCTGGCATCCAGGCCAAACGGGGGGGGGATCGGCTGCTAAACAGCTGTGGTTGAAACGCCTCCTGTGATACAACCAAAAGGGCTTCCCAAAGACAGGCCAAAAGGGGGATGGCTGTGGAAAACACCCACTTCGGTGATATAAACTAGCCCTCCGTATAAAGTGGAGGAGATTCCAACTTGTATCACAGAAGTGGGGATAAACCCCGAGCGATCCCACAACCCTGCTGCTAAACCAACTCGCCATCCAAGATTAAACGTGGTACTGGGGGAAAACATTGCGCTTCCGCTATGGAGGACCCACAGAAGCCTGAATAAAAAAACACAGTGCCAACTCCATGGTGTGCGGAACGCTTCCATTGTTTCCAGCATGCCCCAAAGTGCGTAAAGAGCCCATACAACATGTTTGCCACTATGGGTACATCGGTAAGTCCGTGCTCCATGGATGCTTTGAGCCACTTCCCGCTGCCTCCGTGACCGAGTCCATGGCCCTATGCATCCCCGTGAGGCTCGCAATGAGCTGGTTGCACCAGGCCACTTCCTGAACGACTTCTCTCCCGTGACCTTACCTGCCCCCCCCTCCCAACTACATGGAAAGTTCCAGGAAATCGCCCTCCAAATTTGCCACTGGAACTAAGCCTTCCGAAGAGTGAGAGCTTGGGGGCTGCAGCGGGCACGCCAAAACCCAAGGGGAGAAAAACTTCTCTGTGGCAGCTGGGGCTTAGCTCACTGCCAGGCTGCAACGGGTGAGAAGGCAGACAAAAAAAACACACACACACACACACACAAAAGGTAGGATACCGTATAGGGATTCGCCTAAACAATCCCAAGACAAAGTCTGGAGGTCTTGGTGCTAAAACTGAGGTACCCCCAGCACCGTGTAATTGTGCATAGCCCACTATGAAGCAGACGTGCACTACGTGTCCCACATTAGCTTCGGAATGCACCACGGCTTGACTGGGAGGACCGGCCTTGACACACGAGAGCAAAACAGTGCGAGAAGCGGACCGAAGTGTGAAGCGAAGCGAGCGAAAAAGAGCGGCGAGAAGACCGGAAAAGGGAGCGAAGCTGCCAATCAGGCAGGGGGGCCAGAGGGCGGATATTTCATTGGTTTTTATTTCATTCGTTTTGCGGCCGGGCCCCACACCCGACAACCACTGAGGTCTCTGCTGCAAGCACCGCAGCCGCTTCCCAAGCGCCCGCCTAAGATGGAGGCAAAGATGTGCAGATTGGCGCTTTGTAGGCGGCTGATTTCTGCGAATGGGCCAACTCCTGTGGCTGGACCAATTCCGGCACTGGTCCATTGACCGTGCTTCATCTATCCGAACTGGACCAAGAGTTTGTCCATCAGTTGGAAACTGGCGCCGAAAAGGCGAGTCACTCGGTCGGTGCACGTGTCCTACCTGGTTCTTTGGTCTTGAAAGCTGGGAATGGTCGCAGCTCAAACCCACAAACTGCTCGAAGAAAGGCCGTGGGCCTTTTGTTTTGTTCACCAATGGCGACAAACCTAGGGCCCCCCGTCCCCCTGATCCCTTGACCGGAGGAAACCAACGAACATGGACAGCAGGCAGGGCCTGGTCCACTCGCTCTGGAAGGGGCCCGCTGTGAATCATCGCCATCTGCTCCTGCGCACGTCTTGCACGATTCTTCCGCAACCCCTCTGCTGGTGCCTCGGGGTTGCACCCCAGCCACAACCCCGGAATGAACCATATGCCGCATTTTACAGGTCCAAAACCTAACTAAAATGCGTTCAAATAAGCCAAATACAAAACCAACATCACGGTGAGCGCGTTTTGCCCGGACAACCTTGCTGTCAAATATGCAGATTGAATGCGTGCGAAGACTGCTGGAGCAAAAGAACCAAGCACAAGTGGAGACGCGACTCCTCCAAAGCCTGGCGGAGAAAGAAAAAAAAAAACGGGTGACTACCCCGTTCGGCATGTTCTTCACGCCCGAGCCGCCGAGAAGGAACATCTACCAGAAAAACCTCGGTGGTGCACCTACCCCAAAATGGTACCATTGGTTTTGACAGCTGGCGCCTCTGAGAAGCGGCTGTGCTCCGCAGACCAGAACTGGACCTCCTCCTGGAGAGCTCGAGGAAAGCTGGCGAAAGAAACCGATGCCCCAGTCGCATGATCAAAGGCTTTGCTGGTGGGTTCTGGGTCGGTTTAGGGAGTTTGGGTTGGCGCAGGGTTGGTTCAGAGCAAATTTAGGGTAGGTTTAGGGTAGGTTTAGGGTAGGTTTAGGGTAGGTTTAGGGTAGGTTTAGGGTAGGTTTAGGGTAGGTTTAGGGTAGGCTTAGGATGGTTTTGGCTAGGTGCTGGTTTCCGGTTGGTGTTGGGGGGGGAGGGAGGTTAGGGTAGGTTCAGCATGGGTTTGGGGTGGGTAGGTTTAGGGTAGGTTTAGCGTAGGTTTAGGGTAGGTTGAAGGTAGGGTGTTTTAGGGTTGGTTTAGGGGTTAGGGTGGTTTGGGATTGGCTTAGGGTGGTGAAGGGTGGGTTCATGGCTTACGCTGCTTAGTTTTGGTTTAGGGCAGGTTTTAGAGCAGGTTTAAGGGTAGGTTTAGAGCAGGCTTAGGGTTGTTTTGGGTGGTTTTAGGTGTTCAGGGTTGCTTGGCTCTGGCTGGCTGGCTGGCTGGCTGGCTCTGGCTGGCTGGCTCTGGCTGGCTGGCTCTGGTTTGGCTCTGGCTGCTTTCTGCTTGGGGCTTGCTGGCTTGCTTGCTTGCTGGCTTGCTGGCTTGCTGACTCTGGCTTGCCTGCCTGCCTGCCTGCCTGCCTGCCTGCCTGCCTGCCTGCCTGCCTGCCTGCCTGCCTGCCTGCCTGCCTGCCTGCCTGCCTGCCTGCCTGCCTGCCTGCCTGCCTGCCTGCCTGCCTGCCTGCCTGCCTGCCTGCCTGCCTGCTCGCGAGGGGGCTGCCATGCACCGCCGTCCTCTGATTGCAGAAGCTGACCCTGGAGCCATTCCCGCAACGCCCGCGGCGATTGCAGGACCTGCCGCTTGAACAGGATCCCAAACCATCTCAGCGACGAAGAGCCAGGTCTGGTGTGTCCGAATTTGAATCCATCCATTTGGAGAACCCAAAGAACTCGCGTGCTGCAATGGCAAGCTGAGGCCATTCGCAGGCAAGGATGCCACGCCGTAACGCGGACGCCCCAACAAAAAAAAAGAGCTTTGGAGCAACCCTACTTGCCGGGTTCCATGTTCAAATCCGCAGAGTTTGGAGCGAACCGGAAACCGCCTCGATCCGAACGCGAATGGGTCTTGATTGGGAGGCTTGCCGGCTCCCAGCCTTCAAATCCTCCGCGTTCATGTTCATCGCGCCATCGCGCCATCGAACCAGCGCCGGCCCAAACAAATCCAGGCCCAAATGAACAAAATCGAGTGGAAACAGAGGGTGTCCCAACTAGCACCTGGGATGAGACAGAAAGAAACGCCTCCTTTCGCAAGGGTGAGGGCTGGATCTCTGGGCATACCTTCGAATGTTGATCTCTGGAAGTTTTATAGTCTGCATTCTGATTCCGCATTCCCAAGGGATAAGACCTGATCTCGCCCACACAGGCCGCAAATCCAGGAATTTGCAAAAACACAAAAAAAACTTTAAAAAAAAAAAAAAAAAAAAAAAAAAAAAAAAAAAAAAAAAAAAAAAAAAACAATCCGAAAAACTCAATCTGAAATAGTCTGGAATCTGGGAAGACTCAACAGAAACTCAAAAAAAACTCAAAAACAACTCAAGCAACAGCTCAAGCAGGGGTCTGGGGAGGGTTCTGGGGGTGGGGGAGGGGCAAAATGCAAAAACAACCGCTCAGAAATAGTCTGGAATCTGGGAAGACTCAACAGAAACTCAAAAAAAACTCAAAAACAACTCAAGCAACAGCTCAAGCAGGGGTCTGGGGAGGGTTCTGGGGGTGGGGGAGGGGCAAAATGCAAAAACAACCGCAGAAAGCACAAAAAAACTGTTAAAAAACAAAAACTCGAATATCCTGCTGTGTTTTTGTGTTTTGTTTGAGTCTCCTGCTGTGCTGTGTTTTTTTTTTAGTCTGTGTTTTCAGTTGAGTTTTTTGGCTGAGTTTTTTCTGAGTTTTTGTTGAGAAGTTTTTTCCGCTAAAACCTCTCCTGTCTGAGCCCGTCTGGTCATAACCCAAGGGAGCATCACGTGAATTGCTCTTCAAGAAGCCAGTTTCACGAGTTGCCCAGCCGGCTTCACCTTTTCGGGCCGAGGCGCCTCCAGGATGCACCCAGCAAACCTGCATTATTGAGGTAGTCCATGCCTGTCCCCAAGCAGTCCAAAACGCTTCACAACCGGCACCCTTGGTATGGTACCAAGAAAACTTGTTTTTTGCTGCCTCCTACTAAACATGCAGAGAACCAAAAAGCCCAAAGAAACAAAAACACTTGCCAACGAAAGGCGAAGAAAGGACCAGCCTGTGCTGGTTTACGCGTCGCTTCCGCGTTTCGCCATGCCTTCTTCTTGGTCATGGCCTCTGAGATGCCAGCCTAGGCCAGCAAAAGGGCCAGTGCTGCCCAAAATGGACAAGATGGGTGTGAATTTTGATAAGGGACCCTTTGGTGGACATCATTTAGGTGGGGATTTATGTCCACCAATAACTTTTCAGGTGGATCCCGATTCAAATTCTTCTATGCGGTGTCCCTTTCGGAAGCAGCCAAAGGTTCGCCATCTGAGGTGGGATCCCAAGAATCGCGCTTTCCACCTTACAAGCTTGCTGGTTCTCAGGGATCATGGGTTTTGGAAAATGAGCCGAGGGATCCCTTAAAAGGAAGCCTTTTGTGTGGCACAAGGGATTGCTTATAGGTTGGGTCCACCCATTGGTTTAAACATCTTTAAACCAGTGGTTGTGATGATTATTCCCTTGTAAAGCTGGTGCTTAAACCATATTTTGCCCCACCCAGCCCATAGCAGTCACTCCCTCATGCCCTCACTCCGAGACCGAGAACCCGAACCCTCGGCGTTCTCGGCGCCTTAAGCCCCCGAGCCATGGCTGCCACCCCGTCGTGCTTCTTCACCTCCACCCACCTCGGGCCAGTCGACTTGTCGTGGGAACGGGGGAGAAGGGGGGTCCCACGAGTCCAGTTAGTCAGTCGTCCAACCAGAAAAAGGAGAATGGAACCCTCAATGGAACTCCACAATTCACCCCCATCCCCCAAGTTCATTTTGCAGGGGCCCGGGGATGTCGGATACCCATGGACCTTTCCGGTGCTGCGATAGGGGAGGACCCAGGCTCTGGGAAAATGAACCGGAAGGGGATCCCCTGAACTTTCCAGGGGTTGATCCCCCATTCTTTTCAACCATCGTTCTTTCCAACAACCGGATCCGTTTTCCCTGGGTTTCCGGAGATTTTCTAGAAAGATCCGGATCCCTGGGTTAAGAATGGACATGGAAGGTACCCCTATGTTGCGACATCCGTCTCGCACCTTTCAGAAAAATTATGATTTCCGATGACTTGCATGCCAAAAAGACAAAACAAGCCTATGGTTTCAACCAAGGAGTCCTTCGGAACAGGCCATGGATGCGCATCGCTTCAATTGTGTCTGCATGGAATGTGGCGTCAGGAACCTGGGGGTTCCAACAATCCCCAAACTGGGTTGCTGTCTGCTCCCCTGCTAAAAGTTCTTAACTTTTACTGGTTTAATTCGGAAAACCCATGAGTTGGCAAAAAAGAAGTTGTTCAGTCCGAACATCCCTTGGCAACATGCACCAAACATTCGGAGCTGAAGCCCTGTCAAACTGACGACTTGGCGTCTTCCTTCCCTTCGCTTCCCCTTCCCAAGATCGGGGTACCCTCCAATTCTACATGCGTCGGTCTTAGATGGCCATGGGTCAAAATCCCGTACCCCCAGTGAACATCCCAATCCCCACTAAAATAGACCAAACTGGGTGGTGCACCAAAACCAAGATGACAACAAAAACCGCACAGCTGAGGCCAGAGTAGATCCGGTTTCCAATAGATTTTGTTGGGCAGAAGCCCTCGCCCCTTCACAGGGGCCCAGAAATAAAAGCCTCACCTTCTGTGGGGCTATAGAAATGGACCAATATTGGAAAACCAAGAGCCGCTGAGAATAATCTAAACATGTTTGACACCATGGCTAACAGCCAAGCTCCGGCCTCAGAAGATGGGCTATGACCTACGATTCGTGTGGCAAGTGCTTCAAGCAGCCAAGCCTCTGCTTCGATGAGACACATCGCACACCGCTGAACTTTAGGACCTTCCAAGTGAGGCGGTTCTATGTTTCAACAAGGTTTCTTACAAAAAGGGAAGTCTTCGGACGCTATTTTGCGCTGACCCCCTGCAATTGACATGGAACTAAAAGAGGGCCCAAAACAGTCCTCTAAAACATGTTTGGCTTTCTGCGTTCGTCTCCCGGGAACTATTTCACCCAAACGGGGTCCCCAATCCTCCGCCCAAGGGGCTTGTTGTCGATCATGTGCTTTGCATGTGCCTCGCGCGAATGAACTCTTGGCGGGCAGTCAGTAGGCCAACCATTGTTCACGTAGCCTCCTTTTGGCTTCCGTTTATATAACGTCAACTAAATAGAGTAGAGGGGCACGACTAACTCCATGATAAAGGAGGATGTGAAACCCAAATGTGGGAGTCATGCCATCTACTTTCAGCCAACCGCAGGGCAAATCAAAGTGGTCTCTCGGAGGGTTCCTACAAAGGCTTGATTTGGAGGCGCCAAATGGGTTGGTTTTTAAGCCACACACACACACACATTTTGGGGGTCCCCCCCCCCCCAAAACAAAAAGAAAAAAGAGAGAACAAACACCCAGATGTTGCAATCGACATGAACACCGTGGCTTCCTTGTTGGCAGGTCTGACTCGCAGGGCGAGCAAGGCCAACAGCTGTCGCCCCTTGGTATATTCAGAAAACAGGATGGATGCCCACGGGCGTCATGTCCGCCAAGGACACAAAAGAAGTACCCCGGCTTGGGTAACCACCAACACTGTTTATTCCAATTGCCAGTGCCCAGTCACGCGCTGAACCATTCAAGCCCTGGTTAATCCTCCCCCTCATTCACACATGCGGCCAATCAATCAGAAAGCTACTTTTCCCAAATGCTTTTCTGTAGCCGCAAGCTAGGATTCTGCGTTGCGAGCTTGGCAACAAGGAGATCCATTGAGAAAAACGTTGGGAGGCGCCCCAGGAAACCGAGGCGCGTCTCCTTCCGGCAACGCTCTCAATTCCTGGGTGGATTGGTCAAAGAGCCCAAGCTTTTTGCTGACCGCTGAGGCTGTCCAAACTGATCTAGAAGCTTAGCGTGTGGGTTGAATTCGGCAACCCCCACTAAACCAACTAAAACTGGGAAATAATGAAACATTATATATATATATATTATATATAGAACTTAAAAGCCCAAGGAACCGGATGCGGGACCGCCCAGTGAAAATGGAGACCCCCAAGTGACTAAAGGAACCTCAGAACTGGAAGTCTACATGGCAGCAACTTTGCAGCATGTTCGTTTGGAAAGGAAGGGAGAGCAATTCAGGTTTGATAGGGCTCCGAGGAGGGAAAGAAAAAATGACTCGTCAAAAAGTCCGTGGGATTCAGATGCTCTGGGGGCCTCCCTTGGCCCTCAAGCCCCGGTTTTACTTGTGGCTCACTTGGCTGTGGCTCAAATAAATGCACCAAAATGGCACCTTGCTAAATGGAACCAAAGACTAAAACCGCGTAACCCTAGCTATTGATTTTTGAGCCACAGCCACTTAGCCATTCCCTGCTTCTCCCGGTCGCGTGGCAGTCCTCGATGACCTTGTCCACTGCCTCGGTGTCAGCGAACCTCAGCTCAAGTGGTCCCGAAGCAAATCTGCGGAGAGCTTTGGAAAAGGCGGGCAACGAATCTGGGTACGTTCTGCTTTTGTTGAGCTCGGTGTGAAGGCAAAAACAACCCAATGGTATTAAGAAGAATCTAGTTGGACAAAGAGTTGGTTTAAAAGAAAAAAGGTGACCCGCTCTTCGTCCAACGGCAAAGGGACATCCGCGCTTCTCTCCCAATAACCCAGCGACCCGGCATCAGCCCTGGCCGGCAGACCCCACAAACAACATGCGGGCACAAGTGAGTGGCTACGGTTTTCAAACACTCTCCAACAGGGGGGAAGGATCCCCCCCAAGCAAAATGAGTATGGGTGGCTTTACGCTTCCCTTTGCAGAGGGGGATCCTTAAAAACAAAGACACACCCATTTTGCAAACGCGTCCTGCAGCCGCCCCTGGCGCTGACCACCTTCATGGCGAACAAACAAAAAAACGCCCACCTGCCTTTCACTAACAGCTCAATTGCTTGAGAAGCTTCAGCCACGGAGAGGACAAGCCATGCGGAGCGAGGAGAAGAAAATTGCCAACTGACGGCGACCAAAGCAGGAGACTTCGGCTGATTAAAGCTGGATCAGCAGCCTTAGAAAGCTCAGGGCGACTTCCTGGTGGCATGCGGCGGCTAAAAACCAGTGGTTAGCTACTGGATCCCAGTCGGTGCGGTTGGGGGGGGGGTTGTAGGAGGGGGCGGGGGGGCACGTGCCACGCACTCCACGGGTGCTACGCGCGCCACGGGTGCCAGGCGCGCCACGGGCGCCACGGGTGCCAGGGCCCGGGCTTGATGAAGGCGAAGCCTCGGGAGGTGCCGTCCGGCAGGCGCTTGATGTCCACGTGCTCCACCTGCGGGCGAGGCCGCGAGGCCGCGAGGCCGCGAGGCCGGGGCAGGACTCGTTGCATCTGGCAACTTGGCGCGTGCCTTACACCAATTGCTTCGCACGCTTGGTTATCTCTCTCTCTCTCTCTCTGCCATTGCGTCCAGAGGGTCTTGACTCAGCAAGGCAACAAAAAAGGTGCCCACTGATATTCAGGGAAACTTAAGACATATTCTGTTTTTGCCTGGGCACAAATACTTGTAGATTCCAGGGCTTGAGGCCAAGGAAGGAAGCAACCGAACACGCACTGTGTAACCTGGGCAAGGAAAAGGAGCCACCAAGCACAAGCTGCGGAAAGATCCGAAACCCCATCTTCCAGGTGGGAAACCATACCTATCTTCCTCAAATCCAAATCCATCTTCCTCGATCGGAAGGATGTTGAGACCTCCGATGCTCTCGTCAGAAGGGGGAGAGGTTCAGCGGAGGGATACCCAGCGACCTGAACCAAAGAAGGGACAACCCCCCTCCCCTCCCCCCCCCCCCTCCCCCCAAACACCCCAGGAGGGCAGGGGGACGCTCGGGCTTTGGGGAGGGGCACTCATGCTTCCCTTCGCCGCGACGCTTGGTCCAAGCCACCTGCCCGAACTTGGCGAAGTGGGCGGCGACCCTGTCCTCCTCCGTGGTCTTTCGAAGGCCTCCGAAGGAAAGCCGACCGCTTGACCGCTGAAAAAATTGGATGAGAGGGGGAACTCCTGAGGCTTCTTTTGGGCCGCCAAGAAACCCCTGAAAACGGCCTCCTTAGATTTACCTAGATTTACACCCGCAAATGACTCAAAATAGTCACCAAAATAGGAAGCCTTGTGAAAACAACTCCTCAACATGGGACAATGCTCCAGTGACTCCAGAGGGTTCAATCCCAGCGTACTCACCAGTCACACGCTTCTCCCTGGTTGATGCTTGGATGGGTTTGGTAAAGCAGTGCTCCCGATTCAACAAGCACCGGGGCTTCCACCCCAAGCCTTCGATCAACTGAAAACCACCAATGTGGGAGCCACTTGCTCTTTTCCAGTGCAACCATTCAAATCTTACTCGAAATCCAAAAGCTGATTTAAGAATTGGATCCCCAAGCGGGTGTGGCTCAAATTCAAGCCACCAGGAATCGGACCGCAGGTTTCTAGCCTTTGTTTCTATACGCCAGGGTTCCATTTTGGGTACCTTTTTTTGACCCCACGCCC